TTATACATTAACTTACCTAACAATAAAAAAAATGAAAAAATTAATGAAATTATTAGGAGATGCTGAATGCAAAAATCGGTTGAGTCATTGTTATATACATATACATACATAAATATTTGTTAAGATAATTCAAAACATTATGTAAATTAATGTTTTCGAATTTTAAAGGTAATTCCCAATATCGATTTTAACATTGGTCGTCGCTTTAAATTTGACAGTGATGATGATGTTTAAAAGGAAATGATTTTTTTTTTTAATAAAATACGTGTTTTTGTCTATTTTTTGTTTAATTTTAAAATTTTGAATAAAATTTCAAAAACAATTTGCAAATTATAATTATGTATGTTAAAATGCACGTATACAAAATGTTCATTCAAAATTGTTTTTTATTTAATTCTTCATAATATTTTGGTAGCACAAAAACATATGAGTATTTTAGAATGTTTTCGGTAATGCTATTAAACATTTACGTAGTATTTTTCTTCTTAAAATTGTTATAATGTTTATATGGTCAATGAAGTTTAAGATTACCATAAAAAGTATTGTCAAAATTGTCAAAAAATGTGTCTTATTAAATTTCTCGTTTTTTTTTTTGCCTTCAAAGACATCTGTTAAAAGAAAATTATTCTATGTTTACCAATTGAGTTTATTCCATTTTCGTATTTACATATATATAAAATTTAATATTTATAATAGATATTGTCAGAAATTTTGTAAATTTCTCACAATATCTGCACAAGTTAAATCCGGAATATTATATTGGAATTGAAACTTATGTTATCGGATAGGAAAATAAATTTTTTATATAAAGTAAATAAGCAGTTAATAGAAGTTTTGGTAACCTTGAACCCAAACGGAGCAATATTTCATATTTCAATTTTTAATTGAAATGGTCTTAGACCAATTTCAAAATAAAAAACAGTATTATAAAGGGTGTTATTTTTACTGTTCTTCACACATAATTCGATACTTTTGTCAACATCGAATCAACTGAATTTTGCTTTGGCATGTCACCATATAGAGAAATCGACACCGCAGAGAACAAAGCTTCTGTTATTCTATTATTGAGCATTTTAAAGTTATTTAGTCTTTAAAAATGCAAATTTTATAAATAAATTTAAACAGTGTTTTATACTATCATGACTTAGTGAATGATCTAATTGGCAAATTTATTCTATGATAAAAGAATTTTAATAATTTGATAATTTGGTCATTTATGGAAATTCTGCACTCGTTTCTAGCTCTACCTCAATTACAAGTATGTTTTTATGGCCTTAATATAAAATTACAGGTTCGTAACAAATAAAAAATTTTTAAAATTTTAAGTAAATAAACTGAAATTGAACAAAGAAAATTACTAAAGTAAGATAAAAATTTAGCAGCCTAAACAATTTCTTCAAAAATAATTGATATTTTTTTAATTAAATTATTAATATATGTATGATGGCATCTTAATCTTACTTAAATATTTAAAATTGAATAATATATAATCATTTTAAAACAATATTTAAATATATTTCAAAATTGGAGTACGAAATGAGTTTAGTTATTAATATTTTGAAAGCTACCTAATAAAATTTGTCAAATTAATAAAAAAAGAAACCATGACTTTTTTTTCTCCACTTAATTAATCATGGTTACTCTATATACCACATTACTTTTTTCAAGCTAAAATGATAAATCAAATCTAAAGTGGTTTTTTCAAATCATAACAAACTTTAGTCTGCCTTGATAAAATTGTCTTGGTATATAAGAGTAATATTAAAAACCGGAAACTTTGAAAACTCATCAAATCATTTTACCATGACATCAAAGTTTTATTTCGTTTATGCTACTGATGTGAATTTAATCAACATAGAAAGAATAAACTAACTAGTTTAGATCGTGCATAATAAAAAAACTTAATATTTTCTTTCTATCTTTTATAAGTTATATAGAAAAAAGCAATAGAAAAATAAAAATTTTTCAATATCTTAAGAAATTTAAAATTTACAAAATTAGCATATACGAGTAGTAAAATGATTAAAAAATATAAAGGTGAATAACATCAAAAAATTATATAAGTAATTTACTATTTTAAAGTGACCGTACAAGACTGAAATAAGAAAAAAGTAAAACAATAATATTGCACCCACGGTATTTGACCCAGTTTTAAATTTCATCCGCGATCTGGTATGAAATTTTTGCAACATTTAAAGTTTTCAAGCAACATATTTTTGTAAAGCATATTATACTTTTGTGTTGCGATTCATAATGCTTACTATATAGGAAATCAGTAAAATATATTGACGTGCGTTTTGAACTAAAAGGTAATCAATTAATTTTACATTGGTTCTGGTTTTTTAACTCATTGAAAATTAAAAAATGTTATTTTTTGGATACTTATAATTATTGTTTAAACCAGCTACATATACTCTTCAAATTCTGCAGTCATATAACAAATAGAGCGACTTTCACCTTCTGTCACAGTTAAACGTAGAAAGAGTGAGAGAGCGAGTTTCCCACCGTTATATGAGATAGTGTAATACGTTGCAATGAGACTACTTTTGAAACAATCCCGTTGTTACTTTTGAATCATTGCCGTTTATATACTTTATTCTCTATCATTTTCTTTTTCTCTAGTTGTCGTCTTGAGACTCGAACATTACATTATACAAGTATATGATAGTTAGTCACTTTCTTCTCACTTTCCGACTAAAATAATGAGATAGACGATCAGGCTCTAATTTAATCCAAGATAATTCCATAATTTCTCACTGTACAAACTCACTCATTTTAATGTAGAATATAAATATCTTATGATTGTTATTTGTATAGCATTTTTCTTTCCGTTTACATTTTTAACATAGACGCAATTTTGTAATTTTTTTTATTAAAATTAATGCGACTATTGTATAGTAGCTGCCGAATAAAAAAAATTTTTTTCTACACAAACACACATACAGTCGTTTTTAAAACGCGGTGCAAAAGCTATCAATAATTTTCTAGAAAATTTTCTTATAGGTGCGAATTTTATAAAAAAAAAAAAATTTTTAAATTTCACAAAAGAAAATAACAAGATTTCGATTTTAATGTAACGATAACCTTGAAGCAAGCGTAGGAGGAATTTTTCTTTTAAGCGTTTTTCGTTTTGAATATAAGGAAATTTTTTTGTAGACTCCGTAACTTTTTTATACAGAGTTATTTTATTTTACAGTATTACAAAATCAGTTTTAACACTTCATGTATCTTTGATGGCGCTTTGTTGTTGCTTTGTGAACGGAAATTTTAATTTAAAGAATTAAATGTTGAAATGTTGAAATTCTGTTCAAACATAATGTTAAGTAAAACTGCATTTTATAAATGACTTAAAAAAACTTTGCAATTTTCGCGTAGAATTTAAAAACAAACATAAGAGCTCTTAATTTTTCAAGCAAAACATAGAAACCTTTTTAATTAATTTTATCTTTTACTTTTTTCATAATTCATTTTCAATTTCTTAAGCTACTTTCTTGTACATAATTCGAGAACAAATTACGTATTCATTATCGAGAATAAATTATTAATTTTTTTGTAATAAATTTATTTTAAGATTATATTAAACTTTACTTAATATTATATTAAACAAAAAAAAACACGAAAGAAATCTTTTCAAATTCTAGGTAAAATACTCAATTAAAGGTGAAATACTTTACTTTTTTCATATAAAACACAAGAAACTTGATAATTTTCGTACAAAACGTCCAAAAATTTGGATTTTCCACATGAAGCAGAAATAATTCAATCCGCGGCTTTTTTTGTTATCATTAGTTATTTCAAAAATAAAGGCGTTCAAATCAAGAACCAATATAATCTGTAAAACGATTCAACAACTCAATGATAGTGTCTAGTATGAAGAAGTATTTAAGTGGAAAAGCTTATGAATTTTTGTGTTCTAAAGTTTTGCTTAGCCATGTGTAGTATTTTAATGTATCATTTTAAATAAATTGATATTCTATTATTTTTTGTTTAATCAGATTCCGTCCTACAGTATATTCATGTAGGTAACTATTATTAAAAGAAAATGAGATAATAAATTTCTAATAATAATTGTGATTAAAAGAAGATGAGATCATAATAATTGTGATTGAAGCGGGAAATTAAAATTTGGTGCAATAAACTCCAAAATTTATGCAATAAATTTTCATTGTTAAAAATTTTTAGATATTTAAAATCGTTTTACATTGACTAGAAATTTATTTTTATTTAATTAATTGCATAAAGTTAGGATAATTTAAAAAACAAAAAACTTTACGATAAATTTAGCATTGTTCTTAATCCTAAATTATTGTCTTAGCTAAATTACTGGATTTGATTTTAAAATCTAGTTAGATTAAAAAACCTAAAAAACTAAATACATACGTTATTAAACAACAACGAATTGAAGATAGACAATTATGTTATTTGACAAAATGTGATGATTATTATCTTTGCCCGATTGAGCTCTTTATAAATTGTAATACATAAATTTATTTATTTGGCTTTTTCATTGCTTAGATAGAAAAATTTGTTTTCGTATAATTTGTTTTGAAAACCTTTTTATTTTTCAAATTTTAAAGAATTCAATTTCGTCATGTTCAAATTTTTAAAAAGAAAAAATATCTGTCGGATTTTGTCCGGAAAATGTTCTCTTTTAGTTCATTCAAACTTTTATTCTATGTAACTTCTGTGATAGCGACCACTCCAAAAGAACTCTTAAAATTATTTGACTATTATAAATTTTAATGCATTTGAATAAATATGTATAAATATATATATTACAATAATATAGAAAATTCACAACAAAGTTTATTAACACAAAAAAGGAATAGCTCGTTCACCTCTAAAATAATATTCGTTATAATTGTTTATACTTTTGTAAGTCGCCATTGAAATTCGTAAATGAAATTTATAAGGACTAGTGATTCAATTAATTTTTAGTTTTCTTGAAATTTAATATAAAAGCATTTACGAATGGATGGTTTAAAAAAAAAATTAAAGAGCGTTTAAGTTGTAAAACAATATTTGATAAAAAAAAATAGTTACAATATTTTAGTTAAAAATATGGTATAGTAACGATTCAGTTTTTTGTAAAATATTTAATATTTTAAACTTTGCAGAATTCAACCAAATTATTAATTCTTTTGTTATTGGGAATATATTCCGTAAATTGTCAAAATGTAAATTATCCCCCGAAAGAAAATTTTCATCCAACACAATATGATTCATCTGTATCGCCTCCTACTGCTCAAAATGGAAGATTTTTGAAACATATCTTTGGTTCAGGTGGTTCCACACAAACTATTCATCATCATCATCATAATGAAGAACATAATAAACCGTATAACCCAATTTATGTACCTCAACCGATTCCTGTGATACAACCACAGCCTGTTATACCTGTTATTCAACAACCGATTGTACATAAGCCAGTTCAACCAGTACAGGGATATTATCCGGGATGTTATCCATTGTGGGGTCATCCTTCATATCCACAAATAATACAACCATTTCCATATGCAAGACAAAGCAGGAATTAAATAAGCTTTTTCTTTCATATTATTATTTTTTAATCGCTTACCGCCGTGAAATTTTTTCGTTCGCTTGCCTCAATTTATGAGAGATCATTAAACTATTCTTTTAAGTTTACATATAACTGTAATTTAATATATTATTTTTGGGGCAAATTTAGTTAAATATAAACTTAAAGTAATAAATGTGTTGAAAGCTGTTTTAAATAAGATAGAATTTTTGGTTTTATTAGAAAATAAGAGAAATTTTGATGAATTTCATCAAAAAATCTTAATTTTTAATTGGTGTTTAGGTTATTTTTAATTACTTTTTCTAGATTTCATTTATGATTAATTCCAAGATTTAAAATATTCATAATAGAAAAATAAATAAAATTAATCGTAAAATATCAAATTATTTGCTTTTATCTTTTATCTGTCTCAAGTTTATTAGTGTTTAAAAAACCTATAATTGTTGTTATAAATTGTTTACACTGAAAAAAAAGCGTAACAAATTATTTAACTAAACTTAAAATAATCATCTCTGAGGAGATGAATCTGGACTTTTCTAATACTGAATTATTAAATCAAAAATAATAAGAAAGAAGTTAAATATTCACAGAAATTTGATGGTTTATAAAATTGGATGATAAAAAAAATTTCAATTCTAATGGCAAATATGAAAATAAATAGATGAAAAATTTGTTTTAATTATAATAATTACAAGAATAAAGCAAATATGCAAGATTTTAAAGATGAATATTTAAAGCATTAAGATTTAATTGTATAGAATGTGCAATATTCTTAGTTTTTGTGGTCAAAAAATTAATATCGAAATTCTTAACAAATAAGTTTCATTTCATGAAGTTTTTTTTCTCAGTGTTGCAATAAAATTATTTGCAAATATATTTTTATGTTCATTTCTCTCTAATGTACCAATGTAGTTCTTTGTGTTTAACGAAAAAGAATAGAACGCCCATGTTACTCTAAAATTACTATAAATAAAAAGCATGAATTAAAAAATTTAACAGTAGTATTTTAAAAAATATACAAGAATACAAAGTTCTGAATAATAATGGTAATTTTTTTCAGAGAAAATTTTCTAAATTACAAACAATTTACTAAAGTTTTTATTTTATAGAAACTAAAGGCTTTCATATTATTTTGCACATTTGCAATTTCAATTGCACAAGAAGTTGTAACAAATCAACCAATACATAGTTTGGATACACATACATCACCAGTTACTTCACAAAGTCAACCAGTAGTATTAAATTTACACCCTGGTACATCATCATCACCAAATCCTTCTACAAATTCACCTCAGAGTGATTTTAATGCATTATTACAATATGCTCAAAATCAACCGAATCCATATCTAACACCGAACCCATTTAATATTCTTAATTCACAATTTCCTTTCCAATCACAATTACAACAACAGCCATCATTAGGATTTCAAGCATCATTACAATCATCATGGCCATCATCAATATTACAAAATTTAATTACAAAGCCTTTAAATTTTTTGCGCCCACCATCAACATCATATCCATCAGTACAACCGACATATTATCCACCAGCATCACAATATGTACCACATTATCAACAACCGCAATGGCATCAACCACTTCTTCAGCCACTAAATCAATATTATCCACAAACTTCCTATAATCCATATCAAAACTTCATTCCGGTACAAAATCCATCATATTATCCTCAAACATCTTCTCAAATTCCATTCCCACCGCAAGTGTCAAATGTAATGGCAACACAAGTACCGCTTCCAATTAATCAAATACTTCACCCATCATACCAATATTCTCCATTTGTACCACACGGACAAATTCAATATTCACAACAATTACCAACACCATTTCTTGTAGATTTAGCAAGATATATTTATGGTAAATAATATGAGGTTTTCATGATTTTAAAACATCAATGTACTTTCAAATTAAATTTTTAAATACCGAATAAAGCTTCATACAATTTTATATTTGCATTAATGTTAATTATTTATTTTATATGTTATTTTGCAAGTAGAGGTTTAGCTCTCGAACAACTATTTAGACATTAGCAATGCAAGCAAATACCATTTTCATATTTGGACGCTAATAAAACATTAAATTGTTGTTTTTAAAATCTAAACTAGGTCACTTGAAATTACCACACGGATCGCTTACTAACCTATTCTTATCAAAGCATTGTACTAACTGTTGAAGGATTCTTTTCTTTATACTTTAACGATTTCATTTTACGGGGGGGGGGGGGGGGGGGGGTGTGTGTGTGTGTTTGTGTGTGTGTGTGTGTGTGTGTGTGTGTGTGTGTGTGTGTGTGTGTGTGTGTGTGTGGATATTACAAATATACCAAAAGTCAAAAGTATTAGTTAGTTTCAATATTTAAAATTTTCAGGAATTTTAATTAGATAAAATGAATGGTTTTCGTGTGTTTTTTGCTCGAATCTAGTCTCGAATCAAAAGCAATGGATCCCTTTAACGAAAAAAATTATTAAATTGGTTTAGAAGCAAAGTCCCTTTGTAAAAAATAACCATGACGATTATTATAGCAACATTCAAACTGGGTTTCGAACTATAAAAAACATTCTTTTCAAAACATAAAGTTCGAAATTCTACATTTTGTAGATTTGCGAAATGGGTTGCAAGCTTACCTACTTTTCTAATGCTTTTTCTTAAAATCATGAATTTCGATATGATACACGTTTTTCAAACGTGAAAAAGGAATTTTCTCTCTAATGTTGAAAAAGAGAAGAAACACCATAATGTGTGTTTTTTTTTTGCATTGATATTTTACTTTTTGGTTTTTATTTTCCTTTTTTAAAATGTCGTTTTAGTGGTCAAGATTTTTTTTACTTGGCGTTTATTTGAAGTTTATTACCTGTATGATTAAAATAAATATGTTTACAAACAAATTTGTGCCAATTGCCTTAGTTCATTAGCATTTGGATAATTTTTATATTGTTGGCATCGAAATAAGTTTTCTTTTAATTTTGTTTCTAATAAAATTAAATTAAATAAAGAAAAAAAAGAAAATTATAAAAAATTAAGAAAAGTATTACAAAATATTTGTGTTTTATTTTATCACCCAAATTACTTATTTTTATAAAATGTTGTTAAAGGTAGATACTTTAAATTGGCAAGTATGCGATTGTAATTTGTAAAATAATGTGTTTAATGAACTAATTTACATAATTTGCTTTTAGAAATATTAAATAAATTTTTATACTTTTGCTACAACAATGACTACTTTGAGATCTATAAAATGTCCATATGTATGTTAGCATGTGCATCATACATACTTAGATATGTTAAGTATAAGTTTTGTGTAGTAAAATTTATTAAAATTTTATGAATTAATTTAATGATAATAAAAGTAAATTACTAAAAATGCTTGGATTATATTTAATACAAAAACAAATTGAAATTTTAACAATATTTGAAACCGGTAAATTGTTTTTGGTAAATCGTACACTATAGTTGATTGTGACTTTAGGGTACATATAACGTATATGAATTTCTTTAGTAACATACTTATGTAAGATGAAATTAGTTATAGATACTTTTCATATACATATGTATATAATACTTCAAAATGATTTGTATGATTGTATAAATAAATATATATGTGTATGTATTAATTTTTAACGGTTAACATTAATGAACATCAAAAAACAATTGATTTGTTTTAATCACAGAATAGCAATAAAATTAATTTCAAAGATTTTCTTAAACTTTCTTTAAATTTGTTAAATAAAACCATTTTTAGAAGATGAATAGTATCCATATGCATATTTAAAATTTTAATTATGATTACGAAGGCTATTTTGAAATACATGATTCAGTTATTTAAGTCAATTAAGCGGTTCTTGCTAGTTTTTCTCATTTCTTAAAATTCAAATGTGTGCTTTTTTTTATTAAAATAAATTTGTTCATTTTACTATTACTATTAAATTTTTTTAATGAAGGTAGTATTTTATGTATGTAAATTATATTAAAATTTTACAATTTACGATATATATATATATATATATATATATATATACATATTTGTATATAGTAAAATATTTGCCAAACAATTTAATTTTATTTTAAAAATTTAATTGATTTTAGTGAACTAAATAACTTTAAGCGTCAATCGTTTAATGAGAGTGAACTATTTTTTAATTAGATACATCTCTTTGTTTTTCAAATCAATTGTACTTTAATTTTAATTTTGTCTAAAATGATCATTAATTAGTTTAAAATCGACCGATAAAAACGAATCATCTAATTATTAGTTACACGCCGAAAAATATTCAATATTAAAGAGTAAATACCTTAAATAATTAAATCTTAAAAATTTAATAAAAATTTGTATTATTTTTAATTTTATATTATTAATTATTAAATTTTTTTGTTGTAAAATATATTATTTATGAGAAAAAGTGATAGAAAGTGAAAAAAAAAAAAATTTTATCAAAAGTGATTACATAATAGTTTGTTACGCAAGTAAATTCATTTTTATGCCTTTATGCGTTTGGCATAAATCATAAAAGTATATTAATTAATTATAATTTAAATGTTATTTTTTTAATAAATTGGTAATTAATTTATTAATATTTAAGGATAAAAATGTTTGAAGAAATCGGGGAAATATTTTATACTTTAGTAGTGGGTTATATCGGAGCTTTAGAACTTTGTTATATTGCAAAGCATATTTATCACTTAAGTCATCAGTGTATTTTAGAAGAAAGTGAGGAATCCCGATTAAAAGCTTTAGAAGACATTCAAGAACAATTCAAACGAGCTGTTGCAGAAAATAAACAAGAAAAACATATTGATGAAATTAAAAATGCAAGTATTAAAGATGACCAATCGAATGAAGAAAGTAAAAAATCTCAATTAGAAGATTTAGAAAATATTAAGGAACAATATAGAAAATCTATTGAAAGGAATCAAGAAAAAACTGTTAAAGAAACTAATATAGAAAATCAGAATGATCAACAACTTAAACCTAATAAAAAAGAAATTGATTCAACCTTATTCCCTATTAATGATAAAATTAAAAGTGACGAAAATTTTGATAACATTGAAAGAGAAAAAACTGAAGAGAAAAAAGAGATTGAGGAAGAGAAAATAATTCAAATTAATGAGAATGAATCATTACAAAATAATTTGGAAAATATCCAAGAACAAGAGAGAAGAGATAAAAATGAATTTAATGAAAATTTACAACAGGAGGAGAAATTTATTATAGAATCTATTGCCAAAAATAATGAAACCAGTTCTTCGATTTTACAAAATGAAAATAATATGCAAACAATTGAATCTAAAATAGAAGGTAGATTTAATGTAACAGATTTATCAGAAGCAGAATTACAGATGTCAAATAGAATGAATGAGAACCAAACAAATGAGGACAAATTAATTAGATCAGAGTCAGACACTAATGATATTACAAGAACAGAATCTTCGGCTGAAAGTAAATTAGATGATATAAACGAAATAAATATTAACGAATCATCTGAGTTTAATAACCAAATTGAGGAAAAACACAATGTGGATGAAAATATTTCTTCATCTACATCATCTAATAATATACAATCTGTTGTTGAAGAACAGTCTTCTGCTGCATTTGAAACAATTTCAAATGATTCATCGATGAAAATGTCGCAAGAAAATGAAATTTATAACAATGATGTTTTGTCAAATGAATTAAATACAGAAAATGAAAAAGAATTCGAAAAAGAAATTGATATGGAAACACAATTAGATAACTTTGATTCAGAATCAAGCGCAGATGAAGAAGGAAATTCAATTTCTTCTGTTATTGAGAAGAAAATACCGGACAATGGAAATATGGAAGCAAATTATAAATTAATTTTAACAGAGGAAGAAAAAGAAAAAGTTATTAATTTCAAAGCTGAAGATATGAACTTTAGGGATATTTCGAAAATACTAAAAAATACGGAAATTATTGAAGATGAAGTTGTAGAAGCTCCTTTGGATGAGGAAATTATTGGTGAAGATATGGTAAATATAAAGATTGAATTAGGTTCATAAAATTTTTAATTTCAAAATTTTGGGAGCGATTTTAGGATTTGCTTATCAAAATTTATAATTCAACATCAAAATTAAGCAAAATGAATTGTTCAAAGCTCTGCTGTTGCAAATTTAAAACTAACATATTTTTTCAATCTCTATATTCTTTTACACAAGTTTTTGATAGACTTTAGTAAGACCGATTTATTGAAAAACCCTTTTAACTCTTTTGTTTGAACATCTAACAAGAACATTCTTATTCAAAAACTATTTAAAGGGAAAATTGTTTTGAATTTCGTTAAATAATACATATAAACAAATAAATATTACAAAATGGCACTTAACACTGGCATTTTATTTTCTTCATAAAAAAATTAACAATGTTCAGGTATAAATAAAACAAAAAACAAAGAATTTTCTTTATCATGAATAACGACGTAAATAACATACATAAATAATAATGCTTTCACCCAAATCGAATAGTATATACATATATATATACACCAGCACCTCGCTTAGCGAAGATATTTGGTTCCCAAAATAATTGTCGCAATACAAACGTCGCATTTCGAGAAAATTTTTTGTATGGAATTCCACTGAAATATTAAAATACGTTCCGGTTCCTATTCAGATTATGTATTTTTGAGTTTTTTATAAATTTATTTATTAATACAAAAAATTAAAACATAAAAAATTAAAGAAATCGTTAAAATTAAAATAAAAACTTAACACAATTCAGTCCTACTTTCTCGAATTTGAACAAAATATTCGTACAAATTAAAAAAAAACGTAACCATTCAATACACAACTCCAAAACTCCAAAAACAAATTTTATATATTCGTAAAAATAATAAAGTGAGATTCATGAAAATTAGCACTCGTATGTCCAATTATAGGTCAGATATATTTATGAAGTTTTGGTGGAATTGCTTGACAAATTCGGGTAGCCGCCATATAACTACAAAAGCTAATTTTAAATATTTGGAAAAATAATAAAGTCAGATTCACGAAACTTGGCAGTCGTGTTCGTGTGTCAAATTATAGGTCAAACATATCCGTGAAGTTTCTATAGAATGGTTTCACAGGTTCAAGTAATTCCTACACAACAATGAAAGGTGCAGGGTTTAATTTCATCGGTTCATACCTTTAACGTGTTTACTTTAAAGTGTTTACTTTAACGTGTTTACAATGTTAACGCTACACACAGTATACTATATAACATATGTATTGTGAAAGCAAACAAAAAAATGGCAAATTTTTTTTTCGGTCGCAATGTGAAATTTTTTAGGTTGCAAAGTGAAACTGTGCAAAATTTTTTTTCTACGCAATATGAAAAGTCGCAAAGCGAGGTATTAGTGTATTTATGTACATATCGTGAGACTAATGCTTCAACTAGATAACTCGCAGCTCTTGGTTTAGAGATATTGGCTTTCAAAGATGTAAAATTTAGCAATAAAAATAATTTATTATTAAGAAATCTAGTTTTGGTATTTTCATTTTCAGGTATTTACGAGTAATAACATTTTAAACTTAGATATTGGTCTCAGATGAAAGAGCATTTGATTTTATGACGCCTAGGTTAATTATCTAAAAATATAAAATTTTCGACTTTTGTAGCATTAACCTCACAATATACGAAATTGAAATGATTCGAAACGCAAAGAATGCAAATTAACATACTTAATTGATTAAAGGGAATTCAATTATCTTAATTTTTTAAAAACTCTCAAGTTTATGCAATTAAATATTTTTTCTAAGATTTTGAAAACTATAAAGTGTTTGTTAATGACATTTCGTTCTAAATTATTACTAATTGATTGTAGTAAGTTCTCTTTTGAGAATGGGAAGAGCTAGAGGGCTCGAATTTGGCAGAAATGCATATATGTTCGTCTAAGATTGGCCCATTAGAACTTGTAACTCCTGTACAATCAAAATTAAGTGTTTTATTTTTTAAGCCTATAAAAATTGGTATCAATTCTAAGCACACATTTGCTTTGAAAACTCTTGACAGTAAACTTCGTTTTAATTATAATTTTATTTGCAACAAAATTTACCTATAACTATTACTTGCAGGTTATAAAAAACAAATCCCAGCAACTTGAAAACATAGAAGATGTTCCAAATACTTATGACCAAGATTCTTCTTATGAAGTGGATGCAGGTTCTGGGAATCGATTAAGGCGAAGCCCTCGAATTGTACAAATGGATCACTATGAAGAACGTTGGAATAGTGAGGAGTATGAACAAAGGAAAGAAACTCAACACAATATAAATGAAGAATTTATTGCAGCAGAAATGGGTGAAACAATAAATTCTAATATAAGTGGCGATTTTCTGAAAGAGGAACAAAGTTTAGAATCAAAAATCGATTTACCGCAATCTCATAAGGTTAGCAAAGCAGAGCGTGCAGGACTATTTTTAAATATTACCGGTAACACCCCAACCAATAAAGATCAAAATTTGACACCATCAATTGAATTATTTGACGAAACTGGACATAAAAGCCCTTCTGTCGATTTAATAGATGAACCACGCACACCTTTTACTGCAAGTAGTATATTAGAAGGTTTAAGTGATTTTTATGATTTCAATGCTTCTATAAATCCCTCGCGATCACCTTCTATTTCTCGTAGTACGTCTGTTCAACCACTATCACCAGCAGCAGACAAATCTGCACAATTAGGAGCTGTTCCAAAAACACCAACTTCATTAAGTCCGAGTGTGATTCCGAAAAATATAGAAAATTTAAGTGATTTCTATGATTTTAACGTTAAGTTAAACCAAGCTGGTAGCCCAAAGAATTTATCTTGTGAAAATAACATAAATTCAGAAAATTTTGTACTAAAAGAATTAAATAATGAAGTTTGTCGTAATTCAGCGAGTGCTAAAGAAAAATCACCTTCATTTAATTATTCATTCAAAGAATTAAAAATGTTAAGCGAAATATCAACATGGTCTCCATCTTTAGAATATCAGGAATCAACGATATCAAACAAAAATAGTTCAACTGAAGTCATAAAACCAGATTCAAATTTTATGAGATCGCAATATGTTGGGGCATCAACAGATTATTCTTATGATTTTGAAGATTTGCGTGAACAAGCAAGAAATTTTGTAAGATCTAAGAGCCCTTCACTTTCATTTGGAGATGAAATAACTCCAATCAGTTTACAAGATTATAGAAGGGAAATTCAAGATAATATTTTGAAAGAATTACAGGAAAAAAGCTTCAATTATGGTTCCTTAGAAATTGATAAGCAATTTTTGGAACGCGAAAGACGTGAATCAGATTCAGCGCTTCTTCAAAAAACAGAAATTGTTTTTCAAATACAAGATGAACCAGATTTTATTGAAAACCAAAAGAATTATAATGTGATTGTAGAAGAAATTGAAGTAGAACCAGAGGAATATCACCACTTTAGAAGATTTTCCATGCAACAAGAGTATCAAATTGAAGAATATCCAGATAATGACTTTATTTATTTGGATAAGGATATTGTTGATTTAATGAGTTCGGAATCCATTGAAAAACTTCAAGATAATATTGTTGATATGGAACAATTGTCTTTGTATTCTGGAGAAGCAACAGAAATTATTCTTAAAACAATTAAAGAAAATGTAGCCTTTGATGCAAATACTAAAGGCAAGAAATATTTTCATTACTAACGAGAATTTCATAATTTCAAATTTCTCAAACTAATTTTTAACGGGGATTCTATTTAGTTTTAATTTATTTAATAATATGATACAAATCTTCTTTCGAATTCTCATCACTACATTTGTTTATGGAAGAATAATTTCGAAACATATACGTCTTCTGAGGCAAAATGCTCGTCTATACTAAACATCAATTCATTTTTCACTCATTGTTTTAATTAAAAAGGATAACGCATTTTTGGAACAATACTATTTAGCTTTTTAATGCTATAAAATTCTTAAATTCGAATTTATTAATTACAAAATCTAAACCACATTTGCTTTTTAATTCCAAACATAAAATTTTCTATAATTGATCATGCATATTGATCGGGTAGTAGAAAACCGCGTAACCTTTACAAAATGTGACAATATATCTTTTCAAAGTGGCATCAAAATCATTTTTGGATGCCACCAACTGTTCTTATATAAACATTGTAAACATTCATTTCTCATTTGTTTCAAGATCGTTCTGTTCAATGTTTATATAAGAATTAAGAAAAGTTAAAACTGAATAAATAAATAGATTCCTTAAATTTTCAGATAATACAAACATTATGGATGACAAGGATAATTCAGAAACCTTGAAATACGATGACTTGGATCAAGTTGATTTAAATTATGTGCCAAAAAAAGAATATAACTGGAGAAAAAATTTTAAACTTGAAGATGATGACGAGAATGTAAAAAGTGTGAAAAAAAATGACGATCACATTATAGAAGAAACTGATTTGAAAGACGCTTCTTTAGATATGAATAATTCAGCTCAAATATTAAAAGATGAAAATTGTAATATTGTTGAGGAAGATGTTGGAATCACTAAAGAAATTAATAATGTCAGAGGGGAAATGTTCACTGTTATTGATAAAAGTGGCGCGCAAAATTTGAACTATGATGAAAATACAAAGAAACAGTTTAGTCCGAATTATTCTTTTTCAGAAAGAGAACAACCACAGGTTAAACCTCTTGATAATACTGAAGAAAATGATAAATTAGATAAACGGCCAAATGAAATAGAAATGAACAAAGAAGATATTGATGAAGATACTTTCGATATAATTGATGCAAAGGAAGTTGAAGATTTTAAGGCTGACGTTGAAAATTGTTTAAGTGATAGAAACAGCAAGTTAATTAATGACGGAGGGTATGGTTCAACCGAAAAGTTATCTGCAAGACAAATAATATGTGAAAATCATTTAAACGAAAGAGAAGTTGATATTTCGGATGAAAAGATTGTTGAACATAAAAATGATGCAGAATTTGATTTGCAAGAAGATAGCTTTGATTTAATTAACGCAGATGAAATTGAAGACTGTGGCATTGAAAATAAAATTTCTTCTAACGATACTTTGATACAGGAAAGCAACTATGTGTCTAAAGAGAATGAAATTCTCAGTTCAGACAACAGTTTTATAACAATTACTAATACTGACAATGCAACTAAACCAGTTTTCAGCAATAATGATGATAATTATTTAGAGACTCCTTTAGATGCAGATGACGGTATTGATGAAGTTATTTATGACTATAACGATCGCGTTGATGAGTCTTACGACCAATCAGAATGTGGTGAAAATAATAATTATGACACAGAGAATGATGATGAATCAAGAGAAAATGAAATTCAAAGTAGTTCACAACAATATACAAATATTGGAGAACAAGATGAACAATCTATAAATAATGATATTACACAGGATAATGATTCTGACGATTTATTGGTAAAAAATGAAAGCACTAAAATTTTTCAAAAATCGGAGAATGTAAAAGCACCATCTCCCAAATCAAATTCTACTGACAACTTAAGTTTAGAAAATCAAAAAAAATCAGAGAATGTTAATTTAGACAAACAATTTGACAAAATGTACGACGATTTTATTCAAACTCGAAGAGAATCTCATATTGAGAAAGATTATAATGGAATTGTTGAAAAAATGGATAAAAATTACAATGACGACACAACGTCTATAACTACTGATGAAATAATTGAACAAATTTATTTTAAAGATTTAAGTCCTTCACGATATGAGAGATTAGGCAGTGAAGATAGTTTATCAAGCAGTTACAGTTCACTTAGTCAGGGATCATTAAGTACTAGATCAAAATACAAAGGAGCATCACATGCTAGGCAAATTAAATCGGATCGTTTAAGATTACGCTATGGAATAGCACCAGCAATTGGGGCGTTTGCTAACTTTGAAAATACTGACGATTCGTCGATATCATATTTACCAAGAAAAGAATACAATTGGAGAAAGAACTTTAAAATTGATGATTTGGATTTAAATACAGAAAAATATAATAAAAATGAAACTACAACTAATTTCCAATTGACTGAGAATTTTAAAATGAATGAAAGTGAAAAAAATGAGTTAAAACCAGATTTTAGGTGCGAAAATGATAAATATGAAAATGGGAAAGTAATTTCAACTGAACAAAATGTTGAAGGATACTTAAACAGCAAAATAGATACTATGTATGATGAAGTTTTGAAAAATCGTCGAAAATCTCGCATTGAAAGGGAATTCGAAGAAATTACTGAGGAAATGGAAATTAAAACTGAAGAACTAAATGAACTAGATTCAATGCCTACGGAGAAAATTTTGGAAAACATTTTAACAAATACCAATGCAAAAGATGTTGAAAAGTTACAAGAAACTGTAAACGACGTCAAGAAATCGAAATCTACAAAGAAAAACAGAAAAAATTCTAACACCAGTGTAATTGCAGAAATTTTAAGTGAATCAAAAGACGAAAACAGTAAATTAAATACAAATCTTACTAATGAATTACTAAGCAAACAAAAGGAAGACACAAATGAATCTACAATAAGTACTGAAAAATTTAAAAAGAAAAGTAGAAAAAATTCAATTAGCGTAATAAATGAAAATTCAGAATTAACTGAAAATACTGAAAAGCCTAAAAAAAAGAAATCAACTAGAAAAAGTTCATTAATACCCAATAACATAGATGTAGAGGAGAACTGTGAAAATGAAATCAAAACAAGTAAGAAAAATAAAAAAAGTAAAAAACGTCAGTCAGTTGATGAATCTGAACAAGCCCAAATATTAGATTTTGCTGAGAGTAACAATTATTTAACAACTTCCGAAGCATATGATGCAATAGAATCTTATACAACTCCACAAAAAATAGGTACTCCGCCAAATACGCCGAATGAATCAATTAACGATGATGCCGAAAAATTTAGTAATCCAAGTATTTCAAATTCATCATTGTCTTTGGTATCAAGTCAAATAAAATTGGATCGGATCGGTGAAAATGATATTTTGGAATTGATTAGAGAAAGTACTGTTTTGGGATCAAGCTTTTGATTTTTTTTCGTTTATTTTTAAATATTTTAAATGTTTCTCCTTTTTTGTACAATGAAGTATGTAGCTTAAATTGATTTAATAATATGAAAATTTGGTATTTCCAACCACTTTTAATAGCATACTTTCTTTTCGTAAAATTGAAAATTATATAAATTTTTATATACATATTTTAATTAAACAATAATACATTTTAGCAATAAAACATACATGTATTTAAAATATTATTAAAAATGTATATCAAATATGTACCAACATAAATTAGATTTTATTTTTATAAAAGCATAAACATAGATACTCACATATAATATGTATGAAGCTGGTAATGTCTGCATTCCATTCCGTTACGTGATGTTTTATGCATTCCATTAGATTGTGATTTATGGTTTGGGAACTACATATTATGTTAATATAAGTTGGGAAAAATCTTTAAGCACGATATGCAGTTAAAACATAAGAAATAGACGGCTTTGCAAATCCATTTAAAAATTTTACTAACTTAGCTAAACATATGTACATATGTATCTCACAAACTGTCGACATTTAAAAATTTTTTGGATTCATCTATGTAACGTAAACGTAACTGCTAGATTGGTTGAACAATAACTAAACACCAGACAGTTTGCTATTCATCGTACCGTTGTTCCACTTCTTATTTAGTTTCAGATCGTGTTTGAAGATTGTTGCAAATCAGGCGGGAACCATGCACAACAGATTAGTTTTATATATGTACATACATACACACACATGTATATTTATCATTGAGATTGTCTCATATTACATCGTCACATCGGTAAAACCACATCGTCAATTTAGTTTCATCATGAGGTAGCTTTCAATGCATCAATTCAACGTATCACTTCGTTGATTTTGTTAGTTTTTTATTCCTGTTTGTCAGAATCATAAGCAGGGGACAATGTTCAATCCACCATTCATTAATTTTTATGTATATTCCAAATTCTAAATTTAAAAAGTATAAATATTTTTGCGTCAGAATTTTTTAAAAAAATTTTCTTTATGGAACTTTTTTGTACTCGTATCTATTTTTTTAATGTCGGATTTTAAAAAGAATACTTTTATTAATACATTTAGGTTTACATATTGATGTTTGACTCACAGCCAACTTATTTCAATATTTATTTTTTATTTTTTATTTTTATATTACTTTTTATTTTCTTTTTTATTTCTACGCTATAAAAAGTGTAAGTACGGTATTAATAGATTGTAATACCATCCAGAGCTTTCAATACCGTTATATTGTAAAAAAAAACTGCTAAACCTTTTGATACATTTTCGAATACAATTTTTAAAATATTAATATGTACATACTTTGTCTTTTGTTTGAAAACTTCAATTTAAAGTTCTGTGCAAATGCTAATTTTTAAAAAACGTTACCAAATCATTAAAAAACATAGCATTTTTATGCTGCATTTTAGAAAAAATAATAAAGTGCTTTTCCTAAAGTGCAGCATTTTTAACTGCACTTTAGGAAAAGCACTTTATTGCTGAAAATATATGCTAGTTTATTTAATTGGTTATTTCTGGAAACATTTACTTGACATATATAGGAAAAGCGTGCTCGATTTTTTCGAAACCCAATTTACATTTATTTTACTACATAGAACGCATTGATGAAAAGTGTACAATGTCAAGATCTTTTACTAAACTTTTTGAAATGTGTAACTTGGTAAAGTATACATCGTTAGCGCATTATTGAAGTTATAGTACTTTTGCAGTCGATTGTATAATATGTGTTGTATATACATTGCAAGCAACACGAATTGATAAAAATGACGACAATGGATTTTGAACAACTAATTAGAATTATTATTAGTATTTCTAACTCGTTGGTTTTAAAAAGCGATCAGCTGATTATAATTTCGATTAAAATTTCCGTAACAAATAATTAAATTTTGACATAAAATATTGACTCTTATCTGATCATTCTAACAAAATCTGATAATTTTGTTTCATAATACCACCACATTTTGTTAGTTAATCGTTGATTTTGTCGTATATGCTTATGAACGATATCTTAGATTTCGATGTACATGTAAGGATTTTGAAAAAAACGAAGTAGCCAAATTTTTTCTAGTTGTTCAAATCGGTAACAGAAGCATAATTATTCTTTTTTATGTGTCTTCCATTATGAAATATGCTTAATATATAGTTATAAATATGTACCTCCCGATCTGTGCGATAAAAATTTTTATTTAAAGTAAAAATTAATAAATATTTTAAAGAACTTTTATATTTGAAATACTTGTAGAAAAAAACTTCTTTTCTTTATTAATAAATTTACATTATTCAATGAAATTATATATATATAATATATGTATGTATGTGTTAAAATATTAACACCCTTTGGAAAGGTCATATTTTGTAAAAACTTTTAAATATTATCAGTTTCATTTGAAAGTTTTACTTTATGTTTTATTTAAATAATAAAATAAATGACATATATTGATAGATTTAACAAAATGTGCCTTCACATCAGCATGAAAGAGTTTTACTAATATACTGAAATATTTCAATTTACCAGTTTATTAACTGCTCAATTGACAAGTAAATACGAAAACAACAAATGTTACATAAACTTGCTTGACGACGACTATGTAAATTATATATAACAAATTGTTGGTAATTGTTAAATACAAAACATGTAATTTCTATGGCAATCGAAAGGGTAAATATAATGTGTGGTCAATATGTGGCAAACATTTTTAAAATTGTGCACGATTTGTTTTCCTATTTTAGTATAGTGTTTGGTTTAAAAATGATTAAGACTAAAATATTGAAACATTTCTTTAAAATATTCATAATTCAAAAAATAAATTTTAACTATAAGTTCCAAAAAGAATCAATCTGATGGGCAGGTTCCTTATAACTATGTAAACTTACAGGTTTGTTGTCATGCAAAAACTACGTATTAAAACGTATTCATCTTAATGCTTGAAAATTCAAAATTTACTATGTAATTTAATATATATAAAAAAGTTTAATATTAATAACTATGTAATTTATAATTTTATATAAATTATTTTATATACGTATAAAACATTTACTTCAATTCAAATATTATAAATCAATTTTAGAGCATATTTGGTTAAGTATAGTGTAATTGACATATATTTTACAAATATGTAGTAAATTTTCTGCAATTCCTATATAACGGCATTAGTAGTACTTTATAGTGACGTGAAATGTCATATATTTTTATATTTTGCTTGTTTACAAATTTTTGTATTCTTTTCAGCGCCTTCATTTTAAATTTAAAACTTAAAGTTTTCTGTTCATTATTTACATGTCTGCTCCAGATGTTTCAAAAATCATCACTCAAGTTATTTGGAGAAGAAAATGTTACAGGCTTTAATATCAAAACCTTTATTAAAGCTTTGGATCATATCTTGGGAGGCGGAATTTCGTCAGGAATTCTAACCGAATTTTGTGGCGCGCCAGGTATCTTGAATACTTAAAAAATCTTGAAAAGATTAAATTAAAGTTGTTTTATAATTACCATTTCTTCGTGTTGCTGGAAGTGAAATTTATACTTATTTAAATTAAGTTTCTGAATGTTATGTCTTAAGTACATATTAACTTAATTTTATACTTTTAATGTTTATAATTTTGAAATGTAAAGAACTTTTTTTCTTTCTTTGTAGGTACTGGAAAAACTCATATGTGGTAAAAAAACCGAAATAATTTTTTTATTTATATGAAACTGAAAGAACTTTAGCTTACAGATGTGCTTACATGCTCAGTTAACGAATAAAAAGGGAAGAGTTGGCAAAGCTATTTTTATTGATACAAGTCAAGGTTTTAATCCCCATATAATAAGAGGTTAGTCATTAAGTTTAAGTTTTTAAGATTATAAAGGACAAATTTTAGTTTAGCTTTAATTTTCTGTTCCTTTTCTGAATACAATGTAGTAGCGTGGCTAATAACTTCTAATAAATACCTGGTTGGGGCAATTTTTTTTTTTAAATTTCCTAACAAATTTTCTAATTTACCCGAGCTATGAGGTATAATTTTAGGACTTGCTCTCTATTAATATCGTAACCCAAAAAAGAAATATAAATTAAATAAACATACCTTCGTCTAGTGAAATTTGTCTGGATTTATATAGCAAATAGTTTCTTAAAAATATCACATTTCCGATTTCGTAGAATGCAGTTAAAGATTTTTTAACCCATATTCATAGATTTACTAATAATTATAATAGTGTGTATTTTCTATGTCTAAAAATATATTCACATATTCACTTTTTGATTAATCGTGACTGTGAAGGCAATAAAAAATGTTTTTAGGGTGATAGCAGAATATGAGTGATTATATGTGAGTACCTACGAAGTTTTACTCATAAGACAATCTGTTTATGATTGTTGGATGTAATTCAATCTAGTCCATACCAAGATATTGTTTATGGTATCTACAAATTTTTATTCTTCAAAGTATGTATCATATTGTTAAATGTAGTAAATATTCGTTTGGAATATTTTTAGAAATGGCGGCATATACCAGCGAAAAACTTATGAGCGGAATTGATGGTGTAACAATTACTGTTGAAGAGTTTCTCTCAAATATTGAATATTTGTTTTGTAATACAATAGAGGCAATAAAGCAAGCTATTAATGTTATCAAGGAAAAAGTTGAAAAAGGGGAAAATGTAAAATATATACATACACCAAATATATACATTTTACCATACATACTTCAAACACGCTCTAAATACCTATTCGTTTTAGATCAAACTGATAGTAGTTGATTCATTTACATATATTTTTCGTAATTTTAATGGACCAAGTTACTTGCGATTGAGATTGGTTTATGAATTATTGACTGAATTACAAATTTTAGCGGATAAAAATGAATTAGCAGTAAGTGGGACTGCTGGACAACTGTCAGATAATTTTCCTTTGCGCATCATTAGTTTTAGAATTCAGCAAATTTGAAGATTTGTCAAAATGGTTCTATTTTCAGGTAATACTTACAAACCAGTTCTCAAGTAAAGTTACGGATTGCAATAATTTAATTTTATATCCGGCTTTAGGAGAAGCTTATGCTCATAAAATAGGTCAAAGACTAATATTTGAAAAGGGAATAATTCAACGACGAATTTTTTTGCATAAAACATTATATGGTTCAAGTGCAATTATACCTTTTCTGGTTTGTATTTATTCTTACACTACTCAATATTACGTCATAATATTATCTCTTAATTTTAGATTAATCAAAGTGGCGTGCGTAGTATAAATACTTACAATTAAAAATTTCTATAATTTTGTCATCATAAGGTGAAAAATGTAAATTTTATATTCTTAATAAGCTTCTAACATATTTTTTTAATAAATTTTATTGAAATAACCTCTACAAATTTTGATATAATTTTCTGTTATAGAATTTCGTTATTAAGTGTTTAATTACTTTCTGTGTACGCCTAATATCTTGTAGGTGTTAAAGCGATGTTATTTTTAGTTCCTCTAGAAACGAATTTTTTATGCTTACTTTTAGCTTTTTTTTTATCCTCAAACAAAAGGGCAGTAACTGGCAACAGCAAGTTAACGAGAAATTAAGCAAAAGCGTGATCATAGCTATTTGTACAACGGGGGCAACAGTGCACCGCGCCCACGTATAAGGATCTATTGTGCGCTCCCACCCGAGTGTGGGCATGCCTTACAACATACACTCGAGACCCACCCTCCTAATGAACTCAAGCAACTTGTGAGAACTAGAAGACCGTAACTCCGCCACATGAAACTATGTATAAGTATATAAAAAGAAATTTTTAGCAAAAATTCATTTTTTTAAGATTTCTTAAAAAATTCAATCAGAAATGCTTCCTTAAAGTGTTTTAGATGTTCAATTTTGCTTCTAGAAGGGAAAAAAATGTGTAAAAGTTGATTTTTTCTCAATAAGATTTAGTTTATTACATATGATTATTAAACTAAAGAATTTAGTTTTTGCAAAAAGTTATAGACTACTGTATTCAGAGTTTTAATAAAGTAAAGAAAGAATAGTAAACTTATATATAAACTATGTTAAGTTTAATTATTTGATCATCATGATTGAATTTCAGTTATTGCGTCACATGATTTATCATGAAAGTCTTGCAAATATGATGACGAATGAAATTATTTTACAATTACATTGTTGTTGTCGAAAGCTTTTATTAATTTTATTAATGAGAGCAAAAATTATTGAACACGTCATATATAATGTGTGTTTAAAAGATTTCTCTTAGAATTATTTTAGATTATGCAGTTCAATGTTTTTATTTTTCATATGTATCATAAATTTATTTCTTATTTACTCTTTCTGCTTGACTGATTCTTCTTGATTTTCTGGCAAATATCTTGTTAATAAATGTTTCAATTCTGCATTTTGTCTTCTTAAGAATTCACATTGCCTGTCAAGTTCTTCCCTGTCTCTTAAGGTAACTAAATAATGATTAAGACCATGTTCAACGCATTTCCATAACTTTAACTTTTCTTCAGTAATAACATCACTGAATTGATTCCAAAATTTTTTTACTTCGCCGCTTGAAATCATTTTTGTATTAGAGCTGGTTTCTGAATTACTTGGTGAACTTGATCTGGAATAATTTAATAACAATTAATTATGTAAATGCCTGATCCTGTACTTAATACTTAGATTGATTATTTTAACTTACGTAATTCCCGAATGTTTTTGCAAGTGTTTTTCAGCAAAATCTTTTAAACCGGTAAGAACTAAGCTAGGCTCAATTATTAAATAATGATTAGCACATTTTGGAGTCTAAAAAATATATTTGTAATTTCTTAAACTAATTAAGATTGTAGTTTTCTATTTGACGCGAAAAAGGCATTATTTTCATTGATTACTTAATGTATTAATTAAATAGTTTTACTGACCTCTTCGGATTTAACGCTTTTTTGAATTTTTAATGTTTCAAGTTTAAGCTCATGTTCTGGCGACGTTTTTGAAATTAAAGTATCAACCTTTTCAAAATGCAAAAAAGAAAATTTTTATCTGTTTTTAATTTCTCAACAAAATTCTTATTCTTAGGTATTAAAGACTTTTTTAGAAGATTTGAACTTCGTATTAGTAAAAAATTTCAACACGTTTTTATAGATTTAAAATATTAAAGAAATTTTCTTATTTCTTTTTAAATGTAAACTGGTTTTGAAATTCATATCGAAATGCGCTTTTGTATTTTAATTAATATAAGTACATATTTAAAAATTATAATTTTAGTGTGCAACTAAATAAAGGAGATTTAATTTTTTACTAATAATATTCTAGTAAAACGTATTACAAAAATAATGCCATATATATCTATCAGGTCTCCAATCTGAAAATATTTTCCGAAATTTTGAATCGGAAAAAAATACAAAAACATCTTTTATGATATTAAGAATTGTTTTTATGTTCTTAATGCTTGTGAAATTTTTGAGTATTCTTTATGAATCTTATTTTATTTAGTATAGTTTTAAAAGTAACCTAGATTATAATAATTATTTTTTCGCTTTTTTCTTCAATTTCTTTTTAAATTCTATTATTTATTTAAAAATGTTTTCCCTGTAATTCAGTACCCATCCATTTGGAAGACAAGAAAAGTTGTCTGCGCTAAAAATAGCAATTTTTTTCTTTAAAATGCATTTTTCAAATGGAATTTACCAACCGATTTTTTTTAAATTTAAATTTTAAATTTCAAAAATTATATAGAATCAGTAGAACCAAAAATATTAATCAATTTCTTTCACACAAATAAATTCCGACACACCTTCCATTAAAACTCCATATAAATTTGGAATTTATTTTTGATTTGCTGTCTGAGATATACATGGCATTATACAAAATAATTTTTTTTTTTAATTTATCAACCTTTTGATCGATTTCTTCTGAAAAATTTTCAAAAGCAGTCCCACTTCTTTGGGAAGAAGTTTCGTGAATTTCTTCTGCATGTGGTGTACATGGTACAAGTTTTGTTTCTTTAATACTATCTGTCCTATGTTTAAAAATGTTTGCATCTTCTTCTAATTGATGAATTTTTTCTTTAGAAGGACTATCTCTTTCTAAAATTTCTTCAACATCTTCAATTTGAATTCCATCCGAACAGTTAGGGCAATATGCATATGGTAGAAAATATTTTGTAAGGCATTCAACGTCACTAAAGCTCTTTATATTCAAAGCCTATATAATTATACAAATTTTTAGTGGAATAAAATTGGTTTCAAATTAAATTTTTAAATTACGCTTAATATGTTGTCAATCCGTACTAATGTTTTTTGATTTTCAGTGTAAGGTTCTAGTACTTCTAGAAGACGTTCCTCGCATAAAAATCCAGCACGATCAGCAATTTTGAACAATATATTTCGTAGAAGATTTTCGTTGAGTTTTTCATCATCTGTTTTACAACTATTTCGAGATAATTTGTCTGATCTCAAATCTGAAAGTTTTGAATCTTGTATAAAAATATGAAAAGAAAAACATTTCAAACCAAATTTTAATATATCAGTTTTTGTTTTTTTAGTTTGTTACTTATTGTGTTAAAAATATGTATCTGTACACATATTTTTATAAGTTTAAATATATGGAAAAATTAAGATTTTTGAAATTTTAATGAACATTCCAAATTTTCATTAAATTCAATTTTTAGGATTTTTGGAAATTTCGTTTATAAGGAAAAAACATTATTTAAATTCACTCAAATTCGCTTGTAAGGTAATTTAGTGAAAATATGAATGAAAATATAATTTATTCTTACTGAAAGATGAAGCTGTCGTTCCGCTTCGACTTGAATCCTTTTTGAAGAAAGGAAGTTCTGATTTCTTAATTTTTAAAATATTGGGACGTACCCAATCCAAGCCCAACTGCTGCTCGAATAATAATCGGTCAATATCTAAAACTTTATTTGTAAGTTCTGTGGCTTCCTTACAATTCATATCCCAAACTGTATTATATCTTTTTTCATTTAAAGCTCGGAAGCGTTCAGCTTTAGCTTCTAACTCTAAAATATTCGATTGCAGTTGAACAATTTCTTTTGTTAAATTTTTTATATTGATTTCAGAATTTATCTTCGTGTCTTTTATTTTTTTTTTTAGTATATTTATCGCTTCCATAATTCGACTGACTCTTCTTTTTTGTTGGTTACTTACAATAACGTTTTCCTCGTTACGTTTTTGCAGTACACGATAATTATAATCCATTTTTTCAGAATTCATCATAACCGTATTCTTGACTTTTTTTAATTCAAGTTGTAACGCCTCAGCGTCACGCTCCAAGCGTATGCGAGTTCCTCTTGTTATTTCTTCTTGTTCTCTTGATATTCTTGCAATTTCATTGTCATAGAATCTAGATTTCTGTTTTTGTTTAGTATGTTTCACAGTTTCATGATGCGTCTGTTTGTTATATAGATCTTGCCAACTCTCTGACATTTTACTGAATACGCTTTTTCTTTCTGACTCTATAGTATCTTGCAATAATACTAAATGTTCATTATACGTATTTTTAATTAAATTTACTTGATTATCAACTCTTTCAATTAGGCAATATATATCAGAATTTTGACGAATTTGATCAATGTAATAATCTTCATTGAGTCGAGTTAGTTCGATTTGACATTCTTTTATAATGTCATCTTTTTGTTTCATTAAATCGTCAATGCGCTGTTTCTGTTCTTCTAGTTTTTCGAATAATCCCATTGGTTCTTTTATAGAACGTAATTCACTCCATTTGCCCGTTATTTCATCTAAACGTGCCATTGCTCCTGTAGATTCTTTTTCCAAATCTTCCATAAGAGCTAAAAAAAATCGAATTTTTATTAGATAGTCAAGTTTTATTTTATATTTAAATTTGTATATATTATATTTTATAAATATACATACATATGTATGTATATGTATTTTATATACATTTGAATGTATTTACATAATATGCACTCTATTTTATCATACGCTTATATTTACCATCTCTTTTGGATGATTCAAAATTTCTACGAAGAATTTCACGTTTTTCATTAGCAACTTGGACATTTGTAACAAGCTCATTTCCAACTGCTATTAGTTGACTCAAAAGTTCATCGCTGTCCTCTAATTGCTTTTCGATTCCTGTCTTTGTTGAAGCAGCTTTATCAACTGGTCTAAAATATTAAAAACAAAAATTTAAAACAATTATTTTAAATGTTAAACTTACGGTTTGGGTGCTGCGGTTCTTCTTTGTTCAATTGCACTTTCAACTAAAATTTTGGACTCGTCTAGTCTTTCAAGGCGTTTTGTTAATTCTAAAACTAGTGGTTTTAACTTCTTTTTTTCTACGACTTTTCGAAGCATTATAGCTTGGGTTGAAACTTGTTCTAATCTCGGCATTTTGTAACTTTTGATTAAAATAAAGTTAACAATCAATTTAATTTGGGTTGGTACGTCAGGTTTTCCAAATAAAAATTTTTTCAAGTATATATAATTTTTTAAAAAAATTATTGTTTGTACATGAAACTGGCAAAATTGAAATATACAATAATATCGATTAAATAAAAAAAAATTGTTTGTGACAGATGTTTCCAAGATATCAAAAAGATTTAACTTCCCCTTTATTTTGTTTGAATTTTCAAATTGATTTGTAACGTTTTGATGACGAAAACTTAAGTACATAAATATAAATGTGTATATAACGATATACATATATACATGTATGTATGGATAGGTAGATATTTTTTGGAATAGAACCACTGGAATAGAATCTAAAAGTTCAAGTTTGCAGCTCTTTAAAAGTAGTTCTTATGCTTTTAGTGTAATTCTGCAACAAAAATCTAAAATCTAGGAAAAACAGTTGTGAAAATAAAAGTGTTCCGCTGCAACAATCTGTTTTTAATATGTGAATTAAAAATTTATAGAAAAATTTAATTTTCATCTGCCCATACATATGTATGTAGTTACTTACATATCCTCACTAGTTTTAGACATAATGTCACAAATTTTTTAGAGAAACTAGTAAATTTGACTTACAATTATGTTTAATAGGCTTTTATTTCATGACAAATAAAAATTTTTCAGTAATTCTTAAGTAGTCGTTATATTTAAAATTTAAGGTCATTTTTTTTTCTTATTAATGGAAATCCAAATTTGATGCTGCAAAAATCCTTTTACAGTTCTACCATCAAAAACGCGCGCTAGTTTTTGCAAAAGAGGTACAAAAAATTACTTGTAGAATTTCATAAGATCTGCAAACTTGAACTCAAACTTTGTTGTATAATTATTTAAAAGTAATTATCAATTTGTATAATTACCGAATTTACTATTTTGTATAATTATCAAATATAATTTAGGTAGATTCGTGTAAAATATATGTAAACAGAATATTTATGTAACTAAATATTATTGTACGGTGTAAATTAATATTGAAATATAAAGTTGTTAGCTGTGTCTAAATGTATATGTAGATAAATATATAATAAATAAATTGGTTCTTATAGATGCAGCATGAATGTAGAATTGCAAATAATTCATTCATAGAATTCGAATTACTCATTATTAGGAGAAAAGCTTTTCGTAGTAAAAATACATAGTATGATTTAAATTATACATATGTACATACATATAAAACATTTTGCTAGAAAATTCGTAAATATTACTCTATTTTCAAATGTTTTTATTATTTGAAAAATGAATTCGATTTATAACAGAATGATGAAAAAGTTTATTACATTAAACAACAACAGAAAGCTTTTAACTTCTCTATAGCATGTTATTTAGTTCGCAAAATGAGTGGTTAAATGATAGTGAGAAAGAGAGACTATTCAATTATACTCAAAATTACTAGAACAGCTTTCTATTTATAGGGTGTATTGAAATAAAATTCAAAAATAAAATGCTAAATTTTTAGGTTACACTAAAAAATAAGTAGATGGGGTGCATAGTGGGAAATTCTTGAACTATAACATTATTGTACAAGTAAGTTTATTTTTTTCCAAATGTATATACATTGCTCTTATTTCACATTCTTCAAAGGTTCATGTTCTTCTTATTCTTTTTAAAAATATAAAATCAAGTTTACCATTTTCTTTTCTGTTATTTTCTATTTCGGATTAAAAAACACGATTTTTGAGCACTTGTAATACAGGTAGGTACTTACACTTATTTTGCTCAGTTTGCTTCAACCACATTATTATTTTGTTCAGCTTCACATCATTGTTTTACACTCCTTAACATAATGAAAGCTTTAGACCCTAATTCACCACAGAAAGGTGAATTAGGGGGGAATTAAGAGGAAAATGTGTGAAATAAAATAAGTACAAAATCTTGTATATGAAACAATGTAAATCAGCGGAATGAAGAAATGATTTTAAAGATGCAATTAATATTTCTTAATTTTCTTTATTTAATTTTTATATTATATTTGAAGTAAACCATTTTTTAAATGAAATTAAAAACGTTTTAAAATTTGTTAATAAATTACTTATAGCTGGCAATCTTGATTCAATACTATCTTCATCTTACCTATATGTTTGTATTGTTTGTATATTATAAAATAATAATACATAAAGTGTTCTCTATATGCAAACATAAAAATACAAAAAAAATTTGAAAAGCTTTTAAAAAATTGTTTTATTAATATATAAGTCAAATGAGTTTTTTTTAGTTCAGTCATAGTATTGGTTGCGTTAAGATCGTTTGGTGATTTTTTTTTACTAACAGTATTTTTTCTTAATCCGTTGACAATATTTATTAACTACTCAGAAAACGAGAATAGTTTGATTTTTCGATTTTTTGAATAAATTTGTTTTTTTATATTTCTTCTTGATTTAAAAGAATTCCCTATATTGGGTGCGGTTAAATTTTGATTCAAAATCAAATTTTTGTGGATTACTAAATTTTAAATGTAAGTACCTACCAAAATAATATTTGTTTTAAGTTAAATATAATATAAAATTATTGTGAATTTTTTAAACTTATGTAGTTGAGAATGTGAAAATAAAATTTATGTGAAATTATACTTATGTATATATTTAACATAATTGTATACACATATACACAAACGTACTTATTTTACATTATATATGGATAAGTATGTACATACATATTGTATACCCTACCATATACTTAATACGTAGTTTTTTTTTTTTGAAAAACATCACAAATAAGTTACATACATACATACTTACATATAGTCTATTTTTAAAGTATTTCAAAGAGAAATTTATTCAATTGGTTTTTTAAGAAAAAGATAAAAAAAAGACGCTGTCAATTAAAACAAATCAAAAGAAAATTAAGTGGAAAATTAAAAAAAATGTATGTATATTTTTTTTTAATTTAATTTATTGGTGACTCATACTATTCAAAAATCAATTTACATTTCAAAATCAAGTGAAACGAAGTTTCTATTTAAAATGTGTTTACCAAGAAGTTTTTATTTTATCATATTCTCCAATAAAAATTGATGATGAATGTAATTTAAAAATAAATATATTGTATGTATGTATGTATGTATGTATATTAAAATATGCACTTTAAACAAATTTAGATATTTATTTGAATATAAATACATATATATATTATGTATATATATGTATATAATTTATATATATATTCCTAAGGCCATTTGTTTAGAATGTTTTTTTTCATTTACATAAATATATTCCCTATAATACATATGTATGTATGTACCTATTCATTATTACCACATTATATACGTGTTATTAATGAATCATCCTACTGCAAATTCTCTAAGCATAATATTATAAAAAAATGTACTATGCTTATATTTACATATATACATACTTGTGTACATATATATGTATTGTATATGAAAATGCCTTTACATAACAAGTACATAATTACTATACGTACATACATAGGTACTTGTTTTTATTCCAAAAAAAATTAGTAAATTTTTTATTTCAACTAAAAACATCAACTCTAAAAAATGATTTAATACGCCAAACAAGATCCAAAGTTTGGTAGGCTGGTTGACTAGCCCTGCTCTGTTTAATTATTGATGTTGGTTGATGGTAAATGTGGTGATGATATGATGTTACTTTTTTGTTTTTTATTTTATTTATTTTTTTTTTTCGAGTTCCGATGACATCATCATGATTCGATTTTCACATAACATAGAGATGTAGAATGATCTATAACGTTTGTATATATGTTTTTATATATGAAAAAAGAAAAACTAAACGAAAAAATTTCTGTACATAAAAAAGTATATACATATGTATGTATGTGTTTATGTATCTATATGAATAATATAATAAAATAATTAAATTTTTTTTATGTTTTCCATGACTATTTTTGCATGATTTGGAATTTTATTCTTTTATTTTTTTTTTTACGTTTAAACAAAACCTTTTTTTTTGGATGTTTTTAGGAACTTTTAATTCAAATTAGAATCAAATACGCAACAATAAAAAATGTAATAAAATAAAATTTAAAAGAAATATTTGTTAGCAAAATTCTCAATTATGGTATTTGCTTTATACATACATATTATATACATACATATTTAAAGATATACAAGAATATTTATTTAACCACAGACTATTAAATTTTTAAAAAGAAGTTACATCGGGTTTCGAGGAAAATCTACATTTACTACCTATGTATGTACCTATGTACGTGTATATGAACATATAGGCAACAATAAAAATTAAAAAAATTATGTAATTTTTCCTTTGAGAATTGCATTTTCTTAAATATATTCAGTCATAGGTGATAAAACGTGTTTGAATTAGTATAAGTATATATACAAATAATATGAATTTTATAATGTATAGAACTCACATATACATTATACATATGTACATATATATATATATATATACATATATTAAGCAAAGCAATTTTGTCAAGAAAAATAATAATATATTAATTAAGAAGAAACCGTTTTCTAAGAACTGTTCAAAGAACTGTGCAATTTAAATGATATTTTCTATTATGTACTTATATGCATACAAGTGTGTAAGATTAATCTGTACATATTATGTAGGAAGACAAAGATATTTTATAATCTACTTAAAGAATACAAAGTGAAAATTTTTACCCATTTCTATAACATCCAAAGATTTAATTAACATAAAATTGAAAAATAAATTTAAGTTTTACAATTTATAGTTCTAAAACTGTGAAATTAATTTTATTTACATATATGCAAAAATTAATTTTAATAAAATTTTTGCATAATGTAAATAATATTTTCTTTTATCAAAAATTCGCTCTTATCACAAAATAACAAAATGATTTAATTACAAATATTGTATATAAATACATATACCTATATGTATTATAAACAAATACATACATTTGTATGTATGTACATACATGTTATATTTTGTGGCTTTAAAATACTACGTGGGTGAAATTCTTATTATCTATCTATTCATATACATACACATGGGTTTATTATACAAAACATACATACATATATACACGAGTACTTTAAATGTTTATATGAATATGGATATGTGAACGCTTTTATATCACAGATTGCACATACATAAATACATAAATTTTTTCATTAAACGGGATACGCTATTTTTTCTAAAAACTTTCATCTCATCTCTTCATAGTTGTGTTAGAAACCGGCTAAATATTTTCTCTATGTATATGTACATACATAAGTATAAGTATAAGTACAATATAAATATGCATATTATATATGATATAAGTATGTATGTAGGTATTATGTTTAATAAACTTATGCCAATTGTATTTTGAATACCCAGAATAAATTTTTAAATATAAAAGAAATTATTAAAACTTATTCAATTTTGTATACACGTACACGTATAGGCCTTTTTATACAAAATTTTAAAGAGGAATGAACCTTACAACAGCGTTTTTCTTATTTTTCTTTTCATATCTTGAAAAATACTCAAATTACAACATTATATAGATTAAAAATTGTGAACAATAACGATGCCCTTTTTCATTGAAATGAAGTCAAACGCCGACTTTCTCTTTTTACTTGACTTCAAGTGCACAATTGCTTATTTGTGTACTGAGTTCATATCGGTTTTGTATATGCTTGGGCAAAATATTTCCATACACTAAAATGAACAATTCAATAAAAAATTATTACATTTTCATTTTATAAAATCTCTTGCATTAGTATTTGAATTATTTTTTATCGCATTATATTTTAAATTTATTGTTCACGATGATCGCGTCATGTGATCTTATATTCAATTTCCAATGATTTAATAAAAAGTGAGACTGTATTAAGTAAAATAAAAAAGAAAAAAAATCAAAAAAAAAAAAAACATTTTAAAAGAGAAATGTGTACAAGTGGAAATTTTATAATAAAAAAACAAAACAGGAAAATTGTTTTTGTAGTAAAGAGCACACCTAAAATTAAACACAGCCACAGTGATGGTCATAAAAAAAGGTAACAAAATGATCAAGTTTTACAAATCTTATTAAACTTAAAGAATCCAAGTTCAAATTTTTTTTTACACATTTCTTCAATCTTCTTCTTATTCAATTAGTTACTTTGAATATTGCAGATTATATAGAATATAAATTATAGATTATAGAATATAATTGACAAATTCTTATAAAATTTTATTTCATTCTAATATATCAGAATTTTGTACGAGAACGTATGAGTAACAAAATACATACATACGCATTGCCCGATTATAAAACTACAATTGACTTATAAATTAATTAACATAATTTTGATAAATTTCGCTAATTTTATTAAACACATACATAGATAAAAGTTATCAGAATTATTTAAATCATTGCGGAATTTATTAAAATTATAATATGTATATCAATTTTCATACATATGGATGTAACATACATATGTACATATTATAGGATAACGAAATTTAATATACAACAAACATACATATACATACGTACATTAGTTTGAATGCTATTTTGTCAAATTAATTTTATTAACTTCAAAAAGCTTAAATTGACTATTCACGATTCATTTATTGAAAAACTTGGATGTGACAAAACATAGACATTTGTCTTTTGTAGATTTAGTTTTTGACAATTTATGAAAGTTCCTTTTTGTTTTCCATTTTAGCCACAATAAAAAATAAAATAGTTTAATGGTGGTCTATACCTTGCTATCAAATTGAAAGTCTTTTTTGATTTCAAACTTCCTTACTTTATTACAGTAACAATTAATTTATTTTATTCAGTAATTTGTTTCAATCTCTTTAAGAATGTTAATAAAAATTTTTGATAAATGTCGTAATTCAAAAAATTCAAACATTCAATGTTAAAGGCCAATTTTATTACAATTAATAAGTTTAAATGTGTATTAATATTGCATTGCTGTGATTGATGTAAAGGGTAGTCTTATATTTTTTTTGTACGAGAATCGTAGGAGAAACTAAAAAACAATAATATGGGATTTTTAATATTAAAAACCCCATATTATTTTTGAGTTTTGAGACTGAACCAATTATAATACTTCTATGGTACAGAGGAAATGTACAACTTGTTAAAAAATTTAGTTTATTTTTGTCAAAATTAATTCAAATTAAATTTATTGAAGAATTATATTATTGCAAAAGTGCAATGGAAATATCGAAGTTGAACTTAATCAGGTCAAATAAAAATACACACGTATGCATATATTTCTTTGATTTGATCATTTTAAATTCAACTTTTCGAGGACACGAACTCAAATTTTAATTAGTTTTAAGTACTTTTGCATTTAAAACATTTTTAACATAAAAAAAATACAAAAGATTTTCTAATATTGAGAATATCAGTTAAATATGGAACTAAAATATGCACAATCGGCATAACCATTTTCAATAAATCAAAAATATTTTATTCGTTCTACATAACTCAAAAATTTTAAGATTTAATTTTAAAAGTTTAAAATAGACAATGAAAATTTCTAGTTATCATGCT